AGAAGAGTTCACTACCTACGCTACCTCTTCTCCTCGATCCATCCGTGAAAAAGCTCACTGCACCCTTTCACCAACGGCTGCGACACCTCTAAAAATCGCTCGCAAGTATATGAGCTGAAAAGGAGCCGACAGAAGAGAAATCTGCGATGCAGTGATGTAGGTTGAAGATGATCAGTGTGTCCTATGCCGGCCTTCCTCATATACCCATTTCACTCAGGTTTAATAGCAGCTTTCGCCAGTGTCCTTGATAGCGCCCTCAGGCAGCTACCACCTACATATGTAGCATTGGTTACTATTGTTGAGATAGTGCTTAGTGCCACTCTTTGAACACGCTTCAACTGCTTAGCTAGCTACCTTTTTTATCCACCAAATAACGCCTACATCAAACATTATTATTGGCTTAACTACGGCTTCATAGCGCCAGAGTACAGCTTTTAGTGAGAGGCCCCAACCCTTCCTAAATGCTACTCTACAACAGTATAAGGCAGCAGATGCTTTCCGTATCCTCTCCTCGTTATTTGGCTTGCGTGGGGCCTCATATCAAGAATAAAAGCCAAATACTTCATCCTGTCCACCGGAGGAAGAATAGAACCACTCAACGAGGGGAGAGTAACAACAGAGATTTTATATCTCCTAGTATCATACATAAACCCAGCTCTCCTTACAATCATTAAAATAAATTTTGGGCAAAGAGTTGTCTGCTGAAATGGATGTAGAACGCTATTTTAAGTTCAATAGAATTCTAATAAGGAAACATGTTTTATCTTCAAACAATTAAGGAACTTTCTAAAGATTAGTCAAGGTTGCTGTATTGTTCCAGGTTTCTATGTACTCTTTTAAAATATTCTAAGGTTTAGTTCCAGATTTCTATATAGTGGTAATTCAATGGAMAGCTCCAATAAAACGTTTCGAAATKCGTCTTCCATTATGAGTTTAATACGAAGGAGGTACCTCAGCCGCTAATCACCAGATGAATGCAGTTCGAGCTAGTACATAATATTATCTAATGTAATTTTTTAAGTTACCAATATAATAAAGTGCAAAACTTACCACCAAATATTAAGCATTCCGAGTCGAGCCGTCAATAAAATTGCATTGTATTAGAGTTTTAATAAAAAATAGCCACTACCAAGCTTTTATTAAAAAAAGAAAAACAAAAATTTTCGAAAGTTTGTCAAAGTACTTAAACGTGAAAAGGATGTCTCGCACTGAATTTAATGAAACTCCTCACTTCCTTTTTTTCTTGCTCTCTTTCGGTTTTTTTTCGTTTTACATCGTACTTTTCTCTTTGCGTACGCATTTCATGTTAACGTGTTCTCATTGGAATCTCTCGTATTTGTGGAATTTTTCATATATATACACATTTATAATGGGACTGTAGCGTCCAAATCGTTTCCATTTCGATGCCTTCGCGCGAGTATTRGATTCATTACACAACAACAATAATGCATTGCTGTCATGATCCTTTATCAGTCGTAAAAGTAATCTGCCTTAGCTTCCTTCCTTAGAATAATATTTAAAAACCACCTGTATCAGAGAAGAGAAAGAGAATAGAGAGAGAATCCGTTAATATGCTGATATATACAACAACTACTTACAAATTGCTAAGAAACTCAGAGAGAGAGAGCGACAGTAAAAACGAGAGGGAGGAGCAACAATAGGTAGTGGTATGATACAACTCTGCTGAATGCGGAACTTTACGATTTTCATTAAAAAGTTAAATCAAATTTAAAACGACGAGCACACAAGTATCGGGTACACGTMGCTTCATCTAGACTGTCACACAATGAATCGCTGTAGCCAACAAGATCTTCTCACAACGTGTAGGTTTATTCGAGCTTTCACACTTTAGCGACTACGAGAAGATTTTTTTGCTTTGAAAAGAGACTTTATTTTTATTGCGTCTGMCATGTTTGGGATCAGATATATGGCTGTGTTGTCCCATTGTATACTGATTTTCTGGCATTGAGCCATAACTAAATCCAATTATGCGCAAACCTGACGGTAAATTCCCTTTAAAGAAGAAATGTGGAAAAAGTTGTATTTAAAAGCAGGAAAACTGACGAGATTGTTKAAGAAATTTTGCGTGAGATTAATGGGGAACTCCTTCTGACTCAGTTGGAGTGAAGAGAACGAAAATGCTGAGATGACTACAGTCGAGATCAGTGACAGTTAAAATTCTAATAAAGAAACAAGCACTGAAAACAAGTAGAGGTTCAGAGCTCCGGAATACCACATTGCTGACAACCGATATTCAAAGAACTTTTGAATTTAAATTAAAATGAAGAGTCAAGCCCCGAAGACAAAATTTCTGAAGAGCTGAGTAGAGACTTAAACCTCCGGAATCCCAACCTGCTGACTACTGAAAGTCAAAGGACGTTCGGACCTACAGTAGCTTAAGAGCCTCGTATTGCTGGCTAGTGAAACTCAAGGAAGAAACTGGAAAGAATGTCTTAAGGCTTTTACTGAACTATTCAAATTGTTGTTCGATGTGTTAGAAAAATTCGAACGGTTACCTCTTTTGCATGACGATCCTCACAAAMACTGACTCAGAACTAAAGCTAACAACAAAAGAAATTAGAATACTTACATGGATATGTTGGAGGCGTATTATTACAATTCCACACACACGGATTTGGGACACCAGCTTCCACAATTGGTGGACAACAKCCTGGTGCCGGTGGACATGGTATCGGAGCTGGTGCACCACATGGTGGATTTGATGCACCACAACAWGCAGTATCACAACACGGAGAACATGACGGCCCACAGGGACCACAGGGTCCACATGATGGGCCACACGGTGCACAACCACCACAGGCTCGCGCACATAATGCGGCGGTTTCCTTGCAACGCATTCGTCTATTATTCACACCCATTGTCATATTGGCATAGCGCAGTGGAAAYGAGGCTGGACAGCAATTCGGAACGGGGAAGCACATACAAGCAGCACGCCCCTGGCAAAGCGATCGCGGGCATCGGTCTTGTAAGCCATTTCTTTTGATACAGTCGCAGGTAGTGTACATAATTCCACAACGCAATTCGCGACTACGACACGCTCTAGGCTAAAATTTGTGAAGTGTATGAGGAGATGCAAGAAAGGAGAAAAGAAAAGAGAAGAGAAGAGAAGAAAAAGAGAAAAGTGTACATGTGTGTGTGCGGAGGAAGAGAAGAAAACAAATGACACTCATTAGACTGGTGGTGGTGAGCATACTGTTATCGTAACCTCGAACGGCGCAAACCATATCAAGGTGGGTTTCACGATAATAGAATCCACCTTGATAGGTTTGCGCGCATCAAGGTAAATTCGACATGAAACTCACCTTGATAGTGGCTAATTTAACGAAATTTTGAACCGAAAAATATAAACTCAATGTTTGAAGCTTGCTTAAAATATTGGTATGTGAACGTATTTCAAAAGTTGTTTGTATCAAAATTGATTGTTTCTAAAACATTCGTCTTAATACTATTAAAGTWTGTTGGGTTTGCATAAATTGCTTTTCTTTTGTCTTTAAATGGATCACAAAACTTAAATGGCGTGCGCRAAGCGCTTATGATCCGCAAGAGCCGTTCGCTGGCATTGTCGGACATGCGAATGCCGTTTCATCTTCGGCCGCCTCAAATGGACCACAAGCGCCTCCACCACCGCCGGGACCAAAGCAGCCGGGAGGCATACCACAAGGTCCACACGGTGCACAATTTGGTACGAAGCAAGATGTACCGCAAGGTCCACAGGGTCCGCATGGACCACATGGTCCGCATGGTCCACATGGTCCACAAGGTCCGCAAGGGCTGCACGGTCCACAAGGGCCACAAGGTCCACAAGGGCCGCAAGGTCCGCGACAYGGCGAGCAAGGTCCACAAGGACCGCAAGGTCCAGACGGCTTGCACGGGAAGCATCCGCTCGGTTCACAAATCGGATATTGATTGGTTGAAAAACATGGCAATGCACCGCAGGGTCCGCACGGTGAGCACGGTCCCATTGGACATGGTGGACATGCTACGCTTGGCTTGTAATTAATCGGTCCGGTKGGATAGCAACAATATTCACGTGGCGGCGGTATATCAATTGTTTGCGGCTTCGGCTGGCATAATATCGCTTGGCATACTTCGCGCGGTTCGCATATACGTTTCGGATAGCAAACCACATAGGGATCGGGCACCATCGATGGATAGTAGATGACCCTTGGCTCGCGAACCATCTGCGAGACCCACGTTAATTTGGGTACTTTTATGACACGTGTTGTATCCACAACTTTGGGTATGGTTATTTGGCGGCAACGATTAACAACCATCGGTTCSGGTACTATTTTCTCATTGAAGACGACACGCTTGCGACAGATGAGTCGTGGCGGTTGTTGTACTGTTATGCATTTCGGGCATGGCGGCGGTACGCGTGGCGCACACTGCGGTAGCGCRTCCAAATGGGCGCCTGTATAGCATTTTGGTGAGCACTATATAAATTTTGAGGTTAAATCAGTTGCATCATTATTAATCCAAACGAAATTTTTCCATGTAAAATGATGTTGTTGATCGCCAGTTTTGAGTTGCCGTGCCAATTTAGTTTATATTTTTATTAGCAATTGTTGGTTCGCAATKTTTTGTGGTTGGTTGTTGTTGGGAGTGGAAGAGCAAAAAATGTGAAATTTCTGTTTGCTACACAATTTCAAGGCAAAGGAAATTTGCAAAAGCGTGTTGACGACATGTTGTTGTCAACGCCGTTGACTTACCTCAAACGGTGCACAGCATGGATCGCAGGGGCTACAGGGTCCGCACGGCCCACATGGGCCGCAAGGCGAAGGACACGGTCCGCAGGGAGAGCAGCAAGGGTCGCACATTTTGAGACGTGTTTTTTAAATTTCTGCAAACGAAARCGCATGGTCATTGAGRGCTGGYCACTCTAAACCATGGTTATGGCCAAWAAAATACTTACTTTTTAACTTTTTAAAGAAAATAAGTTCACTTGAAATTTAGATACAGCTAAAAGGGCTGAAAATTTAGAAATGAATGAAAATTTTTTGATAGGAATTTTTGAAGTTGAATTTTGTTTGCCATGTCTACGTGTACTAAATGTAGAGAGTGTTTTTAGCATGAGGTGGTGGTGAGGAGCGCTAAGCGATATTGGATTAACGCAGATCAGGTCGATAAAACTTTGTGTTGGTGGAGCCAGAATGTGCTAACTTCTTAAATAAGTACAGCGACACTTTCGGCGGATGGGCTCGGATGATGTTCATGCCTTTAGAGATGGGTGTACGATTTATTTAAGCGTCCTTAAATCTTTTTCAGCAATTATTAAAGCATGTATTGTTTGACTAAAGGTGTCAAGCTGAGTTTTATTGGGACTTAAATTAGTTACATTAACCGTTGCTTACGAGCACACAGACAGCCTCGGTTATCGAAGCCTAGACACTTGTTGCCAGTGAAGTTTGGTACTGGTTCTTTCTTCTTTCCGTGACGGACTCTTCAAGGGTCTACAACGAAGAACGGCCCTGTCCAATYGAACTTGCTGACGCAGCTTCTTTCGCCAGAAGGTTTTGCTAGCTGGTTTCCATTGCGTAACAGTAGCATTTTGTGATGGCTCTTTTTCCKTTCCGTGGACTTTCTAATAGAGGGGAGGTCACAGCGAAGAACGGTGCTGGAAATATTGGACTAATTGTCGCAGCTTCATTCGCCAGGAGATCTTTTAGCTCATTTTCATTGATGCATCTATGTCCCATAGATTCATGCTAGTAGAATGTTATTTTCAATGAAAACCCTTTTAAGCATTTTTATGCACCTCTCTACCGTGGTTTATTTACTTTCAATTGATGAGATTGCCTGAAGTGCCGCTTGGCTATCACTAAGAATGACAATTCGTTCTCAGTTTATCTCTAGAATAATTGGTTAATGGCATAGATCTCAGCTTGAAATATGCACAGTGCCTTGTACATGGGCGCTGACTGTTTGGTACGTGGTTYTACTGTACCAGCCTCAATTCCATCTGCCGTTTTCGAGCCGCCTGGAGTCCTCCCGTTCACTTTTGTATGCCAGTGAGGCTTTGAATGCCTTAAATTTTCTAGACAATGCCGTTTCTAAGAAAAAGTAGATTCTGTCTAATGACACTCTATTTCTGAGGATCTATTAGCATGTTTTTACCTTGTCCTGTTGACAACAGCCCTACAATAGACCTCTTTGCTGTCATCTTCATCTGCAACAATTTGAAGCGGAGTGAAGTCTATTAAAAATGCTAAGTACAGTTATTAAATTCTGCGATCAAGTGGTGGCCGCTCATGAAGACAGTGCTGGGAGACCTGTGACTTCGACAAGCACCGACGTATGCGAAAAGTTTTGAACTCAGATCGTCGACTAGGTATTCGTTGAAATGTCCAGATGTTAAAATTATCCAAATTTGTGGCTGATGACATTGTGACGGATGACTTGAACATGCGCAAGGTATTCGCGAAGATGGTCTCAAAATTGCTCACTGACGACTAAAAACGCTCCGAATCACCACTGCCTTTCTTGTGTGCAGCTACCGAACGAAGGCCGACATCTGGACGCTTTCGCAGCCACCTTACAGCCCAGATGTGGCCCCCCTTTACTTTTTTGTTTCCTTGCCTGAAAAKACCGATGAAAGGCAATCATTTTGAGACGACAGAGGGAATCCAAGCAGCAATCAACTCGGCTCTCAAGACTATTTCGGAGAATGTCTTCAGTGCTTGGAAATCGCGCGGGCAGCACAGCACCAACGCAGAAAGAGCCTAGTTTGAAAGTTATAACGATTTGTTCAATGAATTTTTTTAAATCGACTCAGTCCTATTACTTTATGGACAAACCCAGTATGGCTCTACTATTGCTTAGAGTCCTGTCTCTTATACACATCTCTCTACTATTGCTTAGAGTCTGATCCTTTTGCTGAGCCGCTTTGGTTTTGTGCAAGTAACCTGTTTTTAAGTTCTTAGCACGTGGTACTAACCTGCGCATATATGTTTTTTCTAAACGTCGATAGTTCGATGTTGTCAATGATAAGATCGAGGTAATTGACCATATAAGATTTGCAATTAAGCCCGCACTAATCTCTAATCCATGTTACAGTAAAGTGCGAAAGAAAGCCTTAGTAAAGATCCAGCTAAGATTTCGGTTTTYAAGTCWCTCATAARCAAGAAAAACACATAAGTCGAAATTACAGCTTTCTATTTATTGCTCCAAAAATAAAKACTAAAACCAACGTTTTACGCTCTTGAGCTTATTCACCACACCAGYAAGCCTCCAGCTACAGCGCGCCTCACCAAAGTGATCGTCATTGAGATCGCAACATCAATTSGAGCTTCTTAAATGCAACTTCAAATACCGTTGGCTCAGTTCGTGTGCGGCGGCCGTTGGTTACAGTTTGTGGATTCGGAAAATAAAATAAATATTCCTGTACAAGTGAAGTGAATGGCTGGAGAAGTGCTTGATTGAGGTTAGGTGATAAGCTGAAAATATAAAAAAAATCCAATTTTTTATGCAAAAATGCGAATGAAAAGATAATTGTGGATAAATATAAGTAAAGAAAATGTGGAAAAGTAATATTTTATGACAAAGAATTGTGGAAACTGTGCAATTGAAGCGATCTAAAGTTAACGGGGTCAACCGGAAGTGACATCACAAGTCTTCAAATCTAAGTGCGAGACATTAAATTCTTAGTTTCGTTACTTTTAAAAGTATTAAGTAAAGTTTTCAGTACTTTTAAAACAAAAAAGTGATTTTTGAAAAAGTTTTAAAAGGAAAAATATTATTTTTTGAAACCATGAAATTGTATAAAGAATATACTGCKGTTTTTAACGGTTGTTTGCGTGATTTTGAATTGTTTAATGTGTTTTATTTTGAATTTTATAATATTATGAAACATTTTTCTCTGCATCGTTGCTAAAAATATATTTTTTACTAATTTCAAAAACAAAAATAAGAAATATTTTCCATCATTTCCTCAATAGTGCTCCAAAAACTTTCGTTTTCTTTGCATTCGCTGGCGCAGCGAGCGAGTTTTTTGTGATAAAGCCATCTATTTTGCTAATAAAAAGTTCATAAAGTTATCAAGCGCACAAACTAAACGAAAGCCGAGAAACTAAAATTAAAATTCGGCGCTGTCCTCTTGTAGTCGCATCCGCTTGATTGCGACGCTGGCTGTGCTAGAGCTCGGAACTCGGAACTCGGACTTGAAGTGCGTTTAAATATTTTCGGCGTTCTTATCAGCCGCTTGTCTACTTTTAAAAATAAATATACACGGTTACCATGAACAGCTGATGACACACATATTTATAGCGTTTATTTACACACATATTTATGTAGTGTGAGTGCGCCAGCCGTCCGCCGGGTCAGATAAGCGGCGCGCTTTATCAATCAAACAGCTTTTTTAGTCTCGTTTATTCTGAAAAAATTTAATTTATTTTTAATTACTGAATTTGCTCTAAGCCGCTCTGTAGTTTTGTCGCTCTGGGTCGCGTGCCAAAGTGGTGAAATACTTTTTGTGTCTTTTGAACTGCTTTGGGGCCTTAGCTTAGGTCAGTGTTTGTTGGCACTCGCTCGGTTGGCTTATCAAGGAAGGTGCAAAAACTGTGTCAGTAGCGTGAATATTGTGATAGTTAAATGTGTGTCGTCATCTATGTGTATATACATATATAATTCCCATGCTTATCGCGCGAAATAAAAAATGTAAATACAAGTAAATAGCAGTATTGTGTAAGAATATAATTTAAATTAACTGAAAAAAAAAAA